CGGACAAACACGTGACACGAAATTTTTATATTGTATATAAAGATGTGGCAACGGGGAGCATGGATGGATGTTTGTAACGCTTTCAAGAAATAACTATATAACAGATTTTATAATAGAATAAATTATAATCTATAATAATATATCCTCTAATTTCTTGTAGTTCGAGGGGTATCATGGCATAACAGTTTTATTGCTTATGAAGACATTTGACCGTCATATCTAAATAGTATTTAAATAATTCTTACTTTCATTTCAGCAACTTCTTGGATATATTATATAATAAACATTATATCTGGGATTGTTTATATTCACTCGTACATAATATGTATGTATATTCGCCCGCCTGGTTCCTTGTGGTGAGGACTAAAGAAACTGGAGACTTTGCAACGTCCATGGTAGAACTTTCACTTGCAATGAGCAGTGTAACTTGTGTACCTAAACTCTTTTACATGAAATGTTACTGGTGAGTAAACAATAAAACAATACCGATTAAATTTATTGTTATATTTAATTTGTTTTGTTCTTGGTAAATTTTATAGAACAGGTGTTTAATTCAGCAAATGTACATAATTTAGGCTTATGTAAGTCATGGCTATCTTTAAAAGGTTAACTATAAATTTTGAAATTGTTGGTGCGACAAATGTATCTTCACCAATAAAAAAATTCAGTTCAACAATGATGGATCTAATCGACGAATACTTAAGATGTAATGAGTTCATAGTTAAAGGCACTCGTTTTGAGAAGAACTTCTTGAAAAACATGAAAACTGTAAAGAAACAAGCAAGTATTACTTGGGTTAACATATTATACAACTCTTGAATCTTTTGCATAAAAATCTTATTCACCTAAAAAATATAACTAGAACGCACATGGAATTCGTTTAGTAGAATATGCATAATTAATTTTACTGAAAGATATTCAACAGTTTTTATATTATTTTTATAATTAACGTTATTCATTACTTGGTCATTTATTAATTAACATTATTATTACTTAGTCGTTTGTATTCTTCTAGCGAATGCCTTTTAATCTTGTGTTCCGTTTTGGTCTTCTTATTAAGTAAATTAAATCGAATTTGAAACTGAGATGGTAATGTTTTACTAGACGATGAAAGTGAAATATTTATTATATTCTACTTCTATGGTGTGATGTTTGTTTTTCATGTGTGTATGATTGTGCTGGCAGAAGTCATCAAATATACATATATTCTTATGTTTTTCCAATTCAAATTATTAAACACTATTTTATGATTTTTTAAGATTTTATGATTCATATACACATTTTTATGGTTTTGTGAGGAAACAATCAAAAAATTGTCTCCATCGATATCACATTAGTTTCATCAATAATTAATATGATTTTCATTGCATTTGTTTTATTTAAATTTAATTGTTAGTTTGAGTTCATCATTGTTTAATTAATTATTATTAAACAAAGTTAGATGAATAAAAGTCCTTATTTTATTCGTCTTTTTTTATTTCTGTGAAAGCTTAGAAGTATTTATTTTTAAATATTGTATTAAGTGGATTAACAATAAACGAAAATTTAACTGTAACTTTAAAAAAAAATCTCTCATAACTCTCTATCATTGTCTATATTTTATATCATTTTAAATTTTCCAGATCTGTAATTAATAACTTAATAAAAATATTTTGATTTCGTTTTAATCGTAATACCTTCATAAATAATTAAGGTCATGGCGTTTCTTGCAATGTTCTTTTCTAGTTTATTAGACAAAAATATTTTTAAATACAAGTGAAATACCCCGCGTACTTGTTGAAGTTTTAGGAATCAGGTTTTTTATAATAATCATGAAGATAGTTTTTTTAGCCTTGGTTGTTCAAAAAGGTACACTGCCTCCGTAGTCAGCAATGTGTGAATAATTTCTCTTCCATGCCCTAACGATGCATTAGAAAACTTTCGCGAGTATTCATTTAAATAAAATTAATCTCTTCAGTCAGGCATCTTCTCTATTGAAATTTCGATATTTTTTAATTTCAATTGCACAGGGGATCCGTCTCGGTATTACCTGTCCTGAAGAGCGCGGATATGTGATTTATCGAACTAAATGTAGTGGCCTGGTTTGTCCATTGCGTGTTCACACATTGCTAACCTCGGTGAGACTATTTTTACTATCTTAAACATCGTTTTTTGTCCTTATACTGATGCTTCCTTTGGCTGTCTAATGTATGACAAGCTACAGTCACAATCAAGTTTGCATACACCAAGTTGTAAAGGAATGGTAGCTTTGATTGGTCTCAAGAATCGTGAGAAATGACATATTGGTGACCAGAACTTTATTATAATCAATCTAGTCATCTTAATTTACAGCCGTGAGGTATCCCTCTCGACTTCTCGGTATTTTATAAGTTACATTCTAGAGTATGTGCGCCGGATTTTGCAAACTTTAATTACTACAGTCTAGTAAACATCTTCAGTTGTAAACTTTCCCCTTATCCGGGATAACCCTTTCATTAGCTACTGCGGGAACTTGTACCGGGAACACATAAATTATATAATTAAGATGCACAATGAAAATAAATTTAAAAACTTCTATAAATTTGTCCCCACATAAGCAAATGTATATCTAATTTAAACAGCTTAAAAAAATAAAATTTTAGCTTGTAATTTTCCTGGGGATTTTACTACTTTTTGTACATGTATTATAGAAGTGCATTTGAAATATTCCCCTGTGTTGTATTTAAAAAAAAATTGTTTTCTTTCATCAAGCTTGGCCGGTTGCGTAACACTAACTCATAACATCGTACCAGGAGAACATAAATCTGAGCGGGTGGTGTTTCATCGGAGCTTGAAAGTGAAAGTCACCATATTCAAGTTGCGTTTGTGTGATATTTGGTTTTTACCTTTGTGTGTTACTTTTGTGGGACAATTCAAGAGTGAAATATTTTTATTTAAAGTAGTAAGAGGAGTTTTTCATTGACCACACTCGCCTTTCTTTTTGGAAACGCTTTATTAGATTTGGAACACTGTTCCTTCTTAGTCTTGTTTTAATAATACTTCCAGAACCCGTTAACCTAGCAGCTAGTTCATTAACATGAGTTGTTAATTTTGATGGTAGTTTGGGCTAAGATCAGCAATTCCTTTGCAATTAGGAATGGTGAACATGGATCTCATAGCTTTAGTCTGAAAATCTTTATATAATGATATAGTATCCGTTTAATGTGTTGTCATACATCAATCAAATTTGTTTATTTAAGTCGCCGAAATAATATTTCATAGGACTTTTTATTAAAACATCTTAACAGTATGTGAAATTTTTGAATAGTATCTATTTTTTTAAATATTCTCTATGACATTTCATGTGGACGTACACCAACTCTCAATTTATGTTCTCCTGGTAGGCAATGTTATGAACAACGTGACTGCTACGTAACATTCTGAAGTTACTCAAAACATCTTACCAGGAGAACATAAAGCTACGAAAAGGGTGTTTCTTTATGATCCCTTGATATTTAACATTTATTTGTGTCCTTGTCTAATTTTAGTAAATGAGGGTTTTTGGAAATAGTTTTTTATATTATAAAAAAATATAAAATGATTTGAAGTTGATTGGATTGAGTTCTTTCACTATTTTGTTTAAAAAAATACTTCTTCGAAAGTTATTAAAAACTATATAAAAATATCATGCTGCACGGACGTTAAAAAGAAATTAATAAGTTTTTAAGGACGAAAGATGTTTTTTTAATTTTAATACAGAAAGTCTATTACATAATATTTTTAACCCTTCTTCTCTATCATCTCTACCTGTCTTATTTCTTATTTTTACGTCGATAATAATTTGAAAATTATTTTACAAACAAGAAAGATGAAATTCAAAGACAAAACAAAACGATAAAACGTTTGTTTAGTCAGGTTTATTTCATAATATGAATACCAGATGTTCATATAGTAGTAGTGTACTTATGATTTTCTACGGGGATCCTAGTCGTACGACAGCTAGGAAAAGATTCTACTACTTCTAATATAAAAACGCAGTAGTACAAATGCTATTGTGAGGTATGCATTTAATACGATTTTCTCTTGTTCACTTTTGTAAGTATTTATCATCAACTGAAATTTAAAACCTAATTAAATTAGTCAAATCTTAAGAGTCATCTTGGAGTCTCATATTAAAGTTATTTTACGAGCTACTGTGTCTGAATGAATCTACAAAATTATTTTTTGAGGTCACGTTTATTTCATAATGTGAATAACCAGGTCTTCATAGAGCAAAAGTAGCAAATTACTATCCGCTACGAAAACGATATAAAATGTAGGTACATCGCTTTTAAAAAATATATATTTCAATTTGCACACAAATTTTATGATCAAGAGTCTGTACAATCTACCATTATACGATTACATAATAATTTAGATTTGTCAGTATTAAAAAAATTACAAAAAAGGAATTACAACATATATTTCTAAACTGTCTAACGAAATCAATGAAGTTTCATGAATTGTTGGCACTGACACATGTAACGAATTAATCGAAATCTTAAAATCGAAATCTAACAAAGAGTGGCATTATTATTAACAAAACAATTACTTATTTGATACAAGTATGTAGTTGTCAGCGAATTACGTTTAAAATTTTAGAAGTGTTAAAACTTACTACTTTGTTGCCGAAAATTTTGCCTATAACCACAAACAAGAGGCACACAAACACATTGTGGTATAGTATAGTCCAGGCGCTAGAGGTAGTTGAGTATGCAAAATCCGAGTGACGGCAACTGTGACCGGATTCTTATACCTGAGACCCTAAATAATGACAAAACACATCTTGCCGCCAAGTTTTATGGTCCCTTCTTGCTCCCTTCACATCCCCTCTCCGCCCATATAGTAAGCATAGCGCACTCACTTGTTTGGTGTGTTTCTACATCTATTAACGTACAGACGTTGCATTTTTAAGTCGTTTTTTTATATATCATATAAAATAATAGTATTTTCGTAAATTCTTAGTATCTTTTCAAAGTGTACTGTATTGAAAAACGTAGAAAATGTCGTTAGAAGTGGTTAATTTGAAAAGAAAAAAACCTAACGAACAATTTTGCTTATTCTGCGATAATTCAAGTGATTTAGTGAAGAACCCAAGGCCAAGTACGTTGCTTCATATCAAAGAAGCAGCAAATAGGAGAAAGGACAGCATTAGTGAGAAGTTTTCAAAACTATATGATCCAGACTCCACAAAACAAGAATTTTCGTGGCATCAAGACTGTTTAGCCACTTATATAAGTGAGGAGAAAATAAGGCGTCGAGAAATTGCGTTGCATAAAAAAGAAGAAGAAGACATGTCTGCTTCAACTTCCAAAGCAAACGTGGAGGAGCTGACTCCAAAATCTCGTTCGTCATCAAAGGAACTGGCAGAATTGAAAAAATCGTTAAAATGCATATTTTGTAAGAAGGTAACAAGAAACAAAGATAAGCAGCTACATTTATGTTCGGAAATTTCAGCAGCGGAAAAAATTTTTAGTACTGCACGTAGGAAAGAAGATCATGTTTTCACTGAACTGAGTACTTGTCAACGGCCTGAAGATTTATTTGCTATCGGAGTGAGATATCACAAACATTGTTACCTTGATTATTTAAGATTACCGAGAAGTTCTGAATTGCCAGCTGGTTGACCTTCAAATCAAATCCCTAAAGAAATACTTATCGATGCATTTGACAAACTAATAGATGACATTAAAGACCTTTTACCAACACATTCTTTTGAAGTGCGTTTCTTAGCTCAACGACTCGCTGAACTTACAAATAAAAAAATTTATTACTGTAATTTTTGTTTTTTTTTTATTATTTAAGAATCCATCTTCACTTATAACACGAGAATATACTGTAAATTATTAAGAAAATAATCATTAAAGCGATTTTATATCATGTACTAAATACATTCCCTTTATTAATAAGAGAAGAGGGGGTAAAAAAAATGGACCAAAAAATTGACCGGCAAGATCCACATTATTATTCTTTGACCTTTTCCTCACTTAAATCCGTTGGCGAAATTTGGTACTCACATTTTGCATACTCACTTACCTCTAGCGCCCGGTCTAGTAAATATGGTTGCTGACTTTCACTTTCATTCTCTAGTGAAATATCACCTCTACGGTTATATGTTCTCCTGGTAAGATGTTATGAGTTGCGGCGAAGCTACTTCCTCCTTTTTAATTCCATCCACCTCCTCATACAACAAAAATAACACAACAAAGTGGAATTAATTAAACCTCTCATTCTTTTAACTTAAAAGCTATTTTGTGTATTATGTATTATAATTACATATGTATGTCTGTGTATGTTTTTTATCGTAAATATGTGAAAAAAAATCGGAGATCAGATTTATTATTGTTATTCTGCAATCTTTTGGACAATTAGATTATGATAAATCATATACTAATCAGTACAAGCTTTCATTGGACAAACTGCAAGATAATTTTAATGAAACAGTATTTATTGAAAAGGCACTTCATTATCATGCATGCTGAACGGTTAGATAAATGATAGATATTTGGGGCCTAGGATTTGTCTGGAAACTAAAATTTTGAAAAATAAAATTTTTACTTCATTGCATCAAAATACCTGAGAATTTTCAAGCAGATATGTAAACGCTTACTACAGACACTAATTGGAATCTGTTATATATGTTTTGTCCATCAGAAAATAAGTGAGGTCTGGCGGCTCTGGGATGACTCTTCAATGCGCAAGTCACTACGACGATCTTCCATCTCTGTCGTTCCACAGCAGTGTAATGTACATACATATTATGTTATGTTTGACTGCATGTTCACTTCTATTTGGTTTATTGTTTAAACCTAGACAGTTATGATATCCTGGTAACCGTGATCCTAAAGTGTTACGCAACTGGTCTGGACGAAAAACATGTGCTCTTTGTGGTTTCTTCAATTTTAAATGATTGCAGTACAACATTCATTAATATTTTATTTTTCAAGTTACATATAACGTGACTAAGAAGGGTTTACTTTTTGTATCTGAAGTGGTAACGAAATATTTTGTATATTATTTTATATTATCTTATTGTTTTATTATATTTTATTTATCTTCATATAATATTTGTATGAGAAAATAACATATACAACCGTAACCCTCAAAGCTAATTTAGAAAGCCTCGTGTATGTCACAAGTCAGCAGATGCTAATTTTGAGTTAAAACTACCTTTTGACTACCACTGCTTTATTATTTTAACCCAGAATGAATCATAAAAATAGTTTTATTAATTTAAAAACATCTCTTCATTATTACTAGAGAGAGAGACGAAACATTCAATGGATTCACCTTGCGGGTGCCGGATCCATCGCGATGCAGGGAGAGGAGCTTCAACAGTGCCTGGGACTGGCTACCTACACCTGAGGTTTAAGTTGTAGCTATCTAACGCGCATTAAAAGCTCACCTCCACCGTACAAGCTTAAAATATTAATATTTTATTTTTCGAGTTGCTTTGTCGGGTTTCACGTTAAATGATTGCGGTAACCTATTTACTTTATGGTTTAATTTTTTGTATCTGAAGTGTTTTGCAATTGGTAACGAATATTAAAATTTGAATGTCATATTTTTATTTGTATTATTATTACAAAACAACATATTAAATTTTATAAATTTATTTATAACCCTCTGAGCTAGAAATTGTCACAGGTCAGCGGATTTTAATTTTGAGTTAAAATTACCTTTTAATTACCACTATTTAGTTATTTTGACCCACAATTAACGTTAAGTTCATGACATGACATGATTAAAATAGTTCTAATAATTTAGAGACATCGTTACATTATTACTAGTTAACTTGGCAATTATAAGGCCATGTTTTATTTCGTCGTCTACAAATTCCGTTGGGATTGCTCTTAGTACGCAGCTTACGGACCCTGCACTATTAAAATTGTCTCGTGGAGATGAGCGTATTTTACATTTAAATTCATTCCATTTTACATTTAAATTGAAACAGTAATTTCAACATTAAATTTTATTTTATTTTGAAAAATATTTTATCCATAAAATATGGTTCGTTCCAGATTTTCTCTTATTTTCAATGAAAAATTCTAGCCCACGTTTCTCGTAGAGCTTTCAATACTCTATTCATTTTTTCAATTTATGTTATCCTGGTTGAAAGGTAAAGAAAGCATACTCCGGTGAGGATTTTAAACTACGAGCAAGCAACGTCATAAAAACAACAAACAACATCTCTCTCACTCCTCCGGACGTCATACGGACTATCTGACTGGTGGTAGTGGTACATCAGTACACATTGAACCTTTACAGGTAAAAAAATCAAATTATTTTAAGAAGATTTTATATAAATTATTTTTATTGAAATTCACAACACATATTATGTATTATTGCCAGATATTTTTATTGTTATTTTAACAGTGCCAAAGTGCAATATACATATATATAAAAGTGGATCATTGTTACGATATTCTATGAGTGCATCCATCTATCTGTGAATGACGATTACCGCTACGTGCGCGAGAACTTTCTTTACTTTGTGATCCTTTGTGATAGTGACATATGTACTTTCTAAGAGTATTTAGACATGACAGGCAAAAACTATTTATATACATTTATATATTTTATATTTTAATATAGCCGAAATTATTTAAATAGCCTGTTCTTTCTCAACTTATTATGTCCTAGTAAGTAAGAACTCACGTTCATGATAACGTTGCATCCTGGGAGAACAAATTTAGGTATTCTGGTTTTTGTATGCAAGAATGATGCAACCGCTCACTGCTGTTAGTCTTAAATACGTTGTTATGGCCTCAATCTTCTTGGGGATGATGAAGGCAGACATTATACAGTGATGACAGTTAGGTGTTTGCGACCAGAGTATTGCTGTGTTTTCCCTAGTTTTTAATAGAAACATGTTAAATTCGATAGAGCCATCGCAAACTAACACAAACATAAAAATCAACCGACGCACAAACATAAATTCAATATTATAAATATGAATAGTTTCACTTTCATCCTTCACTGCAACATCACCCGTTCAGTTTCATGTTCTCCTGGTAAGATGTTATGAGTTGTGGCGGTGTTACGCAATCGTTTTAAAGAATCATAAAAAATCCGCTTTACTTTCCGATCGACCTTATGAACTTATATCAATAGTCATAGACATGCCACTTTCTGAAATAATAAGTTGCAATAAATATGTGTCATTTATTATTATTACAAATAAATAAAATAGAAACAATAGAATATTAAATAATATATATACTTATTCTTTTATGTTGCCAATAAATTAAAAGAGAACAGAGTCTTCAGATAGAATTACGATCCAAACTGTCGTCATTCTGCTTTAGTTGATAGTACCTAATGTATTCATTTATGTATATTTTGAACAATTTACATCAAACGTTAAGGCACATTATAGAGTTACACAGATTTATGTTCTCGTGGTAAAATGTTTTGCTTACTTTGCAGTGTGTTGTCATTGGTTTTTGACGTACTTACTTGCTTTTTTTCAATTATATTCTCTAATAGACAAAAAATTACATCGGCACAGGGCACAACATTAGAGAATGGTGAGAGATAGCAGTTTCAGTTAGGAATGTTTCTGTGAACCACTACATATTAATAACAGTAGGTTGAATACAAAATCGACTGACGTTATTTCAAATAACTTTTTACAACATTTCTGAATATTGTAGATTGTTAAGGAAAGAAAATCTAGACCTCGTTGAATAAATTTTTTAGTTGACACAAAATATATTTTATTGAGCTTTGACATTATCTTTCTCGTTAATACAGTTTCGAAAGCTCGTTTAAGTCGGAAATGTTACGAAATAAGACAAATATAGTTAAGGTAAAGAAACTTCATTTAAGAAAGAAAATCTGTATTGACAGTAATAATAAATAGAAGATATAAAACAATTTTCACAACTGAATAGTAAAAATATAAATATGATCATAATATAATTTAAGGAATAGAAAATCAGCTAGCTTACACACACAAAAACTAAGCAACATTCACATGTTTAACAACAAACATGAAAAATTTTCATCTTTCACTTTCATCCTCTGATAAAACATTACCCGCTGAGTTCATGTTCTCCTGATAAGATGTTATGAGTTGTGCCAGTGTTTCGCAGAGCTTTTGATAAAGAGATTCCGGATTGAACAGCAAATGTGTTTTTGAGAAAGGGAGAATGACTCTAGTAGGCTTATTTTGTACATAAAATAAAACAATGCCTAAAATTTCCCAAATAATTTTTAAAAAAGCCAACAATAAGTAAGGAATATATATATATATACATTATAGCAGAATTTCAGTTTCGAAAAACTTGTTCCATTAAAAAAAAACAATAATTTCACACAAAAGACTGAGTGACATAAACCTGTTGTACAAATAACAAATGACTACTAATTGAATTTTATTCTAAGTGTAGTCTTAAAGGGTTACAAAACAAAACATTATATTATAAGTACCTACTACCTAACGTCGTATCCAATATTAACATAAATTGATGATTTTTTTTAATCAATAATCATGGAAAGCTCGACGAATCTAAATAGAATACTAATAATTTAAATAAAACTAACAAAATTTCATAAAAATTGTAATTTATAAAAAATTTAAGTATACATCAAAAATTTTTTAAAAACACCATAAAATGAGAGA